TGCCTGAAAAGCAAATATGACCTGAGGCTGCAGGACTGACCACATGTTTATGCCCCATGTTTGTATGTATGTTGTTTTACTATCCCAGGATGGTACAATGAACGACCAACACCCGGTGACCCAAAGTGCCACCATTCAGATGAGGATCACCCAGGCACAAGTCCCAGAAACCCTGTACAACCATTAGGGCCCCTGACTAAAGCCGGGGTAGGCCTTAATGCAACAAAAAATTGCACCAAAAATTGGAGCAGCAAGTTTGACTACTTATATTTGTCCTACAGACTGTTCAAGTATGACCTGATGCAGCCGGCTGACAACAGTGAGTCTGAGGACATAAAAAAATGGTTTTTTTCTCTCTCCTTTTGTAGATATCCAGGGCAGGGAGTGTATACTCTTCCAAGAAAGACCAGAAGTCGAGTACCGGAAGTCAGAGTGGCTCAAGTCATTGCTCCAGCTGTTCTTCCTTGTCTGACTCAGCCCAGACTAAGAAAATAGACCTCAATGCTGAACATGAGATCACTGAAGTGGAAGTTGTTTATGCCAAGGTAAGTCATTTATTTAATCATCACTTTAGAGCAAGTCCTTTGGAAAACATTTTGTTTAAGAAATGTTTTGGCCAGTCAAGATTAAAAAACACTAAGAACTGAAGTTGAGGTCCCTTTTCCACGCCTTTAGGCATATTGGGATATAAGACTAGACCTATATTTTATAGACCAATCAGCACTAGGTGGATTATGTAGTCAGCATCACAATGGTCACCTTTACTTCCCAGGACTGCACCTGGTACCCATTCAAGGCTAGGTCGACCTAGGAGTCAAACTCATTTTTGAAAAAAGTCTTGCTCCGTCGGGAGCAGAACCCATGACCTCCATTCAGCAGGCAGGCGTCCAGCTGCCCGTGCCACGGCGACTCCCAAGAACTGAAAATGAAAACAAAATGTTTATCTCTGGCAAGTGTTATGAAAGGAAGAAGATAAAAATGACAAGTTTGCCAAATAGCTTGTGACACTTTAGCAAAGAAAACTCTCCAGTGGATGGCAGATGTACAATGAAGGCATGGATGACCTAAGGACTGTTCTACTGGTGACCAGTGGGCTTGCAGAGGCCTAGCACGTGGATCATTGTCAGTTTTGTTGCATTATTGATCCTTTTATACAGGTTCTGGAGCCAGACCTCTGGTCTGTGACAATGACCATTTTGCAACAATTTTCAACCTAATTGAATGGCCCTGACCTCAGAAAACTGGGAGAAGGAAGTAGAAAGGGAAATGAAGGAATGTAACCTTGACATTGGAAACTATGGGCAGAAAATTTTGAGACTGGCAACAGTGTAGATCACTTGTGAACGCCTTGTGTTATATAGATAACATGAATATAGAGAGAGATTTGCAGAACGTTTGCTTTAATTACCTGTGTGCCTGCCATGTTTCCCGTCTGAGCTGTGGCCTGAAGGTTAGACAACCTGAGATGATAAAATCTCACTCTGGATGGACGACCAACAGGGCAAATCCCAGATACCCTGTTCAACCTCAAAAAAATAAAAGTTATTATTGGGACATCTGTGATGGCCACACAAGGCAGGTGTAACTTACAGTCCATGTGAGTATGGGTAAGATCACATTTGTTTGTGCTTTATTATAGTTCTTATAAAAATATGTTTAGTTTAAATTGTAATATCTTGGGTCTTATTACTATTATTATTATTACAACTATAATCTTCTTCTTCTTCTTTTTCTTCTGCTTCTTCTACTTCTTCTTCTTCTTCTTCTTCTTCTTCTTCTTCTTCTTCTTCTTCTTCTTCTTCTTCTTCTTCTTCTTCTTCTTCTTCTTCTTCTTCTTCTTCTTCTTCTTCTTTTTATTCTTCTTCTTCTTCTTCTTCTTCTTCTTCTTCTTCTTCTTCTTCTTCTTCTTCTTCTTCTTCTTCTTCTTCTTCTTCTTCTTCTTCTTCTTCTTCTTCTTCTACTTTTTCTTCTTCTTATTCTTCTACTTCTTCTCCTCCTTCTTCTTCTTCTTCTTCTTCTTCTTCTTCTTCTTCTTCTTCTTCTTCTTCTTCTTCTTCCTCTTCTTCTTCTTCTTCTTTTTTTTTTCTGCCTCTTTTTCTTAGTATTATTATTATTAGTTTTTTCTTATTATTATTATTTTTTTTTCTTCTTCTTCTTCTTCTTCACTTCCTCTTTCATGGATTCAGGTGTCACGGGAGATCTAAGGTTCTGCTTTATGGTCGTCTGGTCACCTCGACCATAGACACAGCGTGCTGTTGCAGAGTTTTTGCTATGTTATCATTCCATCTCGTTCTTCATTCTACTTTGTGCTCTATGTCTTTCCTCCTTTTTGGTGTATTCCTGTATGTTATGGCATCACAAAGCATTCTCTCTAAGTGGGAAAACTTTTTATTTTCTGACTTTGTATGTAATTTAAAATTAGTTCTGTTCAGACTTTTGATTTTATGACCTTGTTTCTGATTTTGCCCATTCTGGGTTCTCCTGCAACCTTTCCCAGACATCCCCTTTAGTAAATGGGGGTCTCTGTGGCGAAGTGGTCATGCTATTTGCCTGGCACTCTAAAGGCCGTGGGTTTGGTTCATGGTTGCGCCATTCAGTTTATGAGTGCAATTTTTCTGGAGATCTTTGGGGATAGTTGCCGGAGGTTAATGCTCTGCTCTGCATTCGCTGCAGGCAGCTAGCCATTGTGAGGAGAGAGACCTTGCCATATTGGATAAAATCTGGTACAATGAAGTCGACCCTCTAGTCTTTAACCTTTTAACATTTAGACAACCCATTGGACATCACAGTTTTTGTCACCTTAGTATTGATGTACTGTTTGTTTACTTTCTTGCAGGAGCCAAATGACTGTTTTTGCTACTGCTGTGTAAAGAAGTGTCCCTGGTTCAGTAAAATCGAGAAGACAACTATTGGTCGAATCTGGTGGGCAGTTCGCTGTTTCATGTACCGTGTAGCGGAGCACAAGTACTTTGACACTTTTATCATCTTTATGATCCTCAGTAGCAGTATCGCCCTGGTAAAACTTTTCACAAATTATCATGTAATTTATTAGTTTTAACTTTTTTAGTCCAGGGGGTTTAGCATCACAGGCTCAAGGGGTAGTGAAGAAAGACTAAAATCGACGCATCATCCATTAATTAGGCTTCTAGATAGGAACCTAGTCGAGGCCGACCTCTACTACATTATAAAGATGTGTGCAAGCGAGAGATGAATGATAAGGTGGACTCATGGGAACAAAATGCCATGGACAGCGTTGTATGGGAAGGGCATATCAGGAAGGGAATGAGACTGAAAGAAGAAATTATTGCAGAAAGGATGAGAGCTGAGCGTCTGAAAGGAAACGGATTAAACACAAATGTTGACAAAAATAGTCCTGAAATGCCATGCAATCATTATGGAAGACTTTTTTTGACACGGTCGGGTCTTGCTAGTCACAATCGCCATGGGCTATGAGTCTCATGCCTCCTCATAGCGCAGTATAACACTATCGTCTGGAAAGACTGAAAGGTTCCAGTGAGGAACCTATAAACATATGATGTCTTCCTTGGGACTTAAAGAGTTAAAGGTGTTTTAACATATATTGAGTATATACTTGCTGACTGCGGAGCAGTGCATGACTTGTTGGCTAATAAAGTGCAGCTTGAGTCAGAATTCACACCACATTTACCAACCTTGACCTGAGGTGACTCCAGCAGTTAAGGATTTTTCTTCTTCTTCTTCTTCTTCTTCTTCTTCTTCTTCTTCTTCTTCTTCTTCTTCTTCTTCTTCTTCTTCTTCTTCTTCTTCTTCTTCTTCTTCTTCTTCTTCTTCTTCTTCTTCTTCTTCTTCTTCTTCTTCTTCTTCTTCTTCTTCTTCTTCTTCTTCTTCTTCTTCTTCTTCTTCTTCTTCTTCTTCTTCTTCTTCTTCTTCTTCATGTGCCCATAAAAAGGAAGTTCAAATGCTGTGGTTTACAGCAAGGCTATGATATCTGCACCTTTTGGCCTAAAACATCTGATTTATCTAATTAGTGACATTTTACATTTCCATGTGGCAGTGGGTTCTCCCCCCCCCCCCCCCCCCCCCCCCCACCCGCAAATTGAGCCACAAAATCCACATGGAGACACCAGTTTAGACAATACTGGTCATAATGCCTAAATACAAATCTTCATAAAATCATGTAATTTATCAGTTAGTGATGTTTTTTTTTAGGTTCCGGGATCACACTGTCTTCCATTGCAGATGTATATAAGTCCTTAATTTAATGTACTGTGCACAACATGAAGTGGGGGGATATATTAAACGTAATGTTCTTTTTGGAATGTTATGTTCTTTTTATGGCAAAACAAGTCCAGTGTTTGTGTAAAGATTAAACAGCATAACAAGTCTAGTGGTTGTGTAAAGATTAAACAACATAACAAGTCAAATGGTTGTGTAAAGAGTAAACAGCATAACAAGTCTAGTGGTTGTGTAAAGATTAAACAACATAACAAGTCTAGTGGTTGTGTAAAGAGTAAACAGCATAACAAGTCAAATGGTTGTGTAAAGATTAAACAGCATAACAAGTCTAGTGGTTGTGTAAAGATTAAACAGCATAACAAGTCTATGATAAAGCACCAGCAAGACAATCAAGGTCAAAATTTTGAGAGTATGCCTCTTTTCTGTAGTAACATATGGATAGGAGTCATGAACTATCTTGCAGTCCTTAAGGAAGAAAATAGGGGCTTTTAAGCAGAAATGCTATAGACAGATTCTCAAAATAGCCTGGACAAAGAAGAAAATAAATACTGACATTCTAAAAAATCTAAACATCAAGGAAGATTGGCTAGCAAAAGACATCTTGTCACAGAAACTTTAATATTTTAACCAAATTTAGGGCCACAGCAGATTGAAAAAAAAAGAAAATAATGTCAGATGGTACCAGGAAAGAGGAACCAAAGCTGACCAGCAAACAATGGGAAGGATCACACAAAACCATTACATTACATCCCTCCCCATTGTAAATAAAGGAATCTACTTTTCAGGCCTTAGAAGATGCTTACCTTAACGAGAAGCCCCTGATGAAAGAGGTGCTGAACTACATGGACAGAATTTTTACTATCATCTTCATCGTGGAGATGGTGGTCAAGTGGTTTGCGTTTGGCTTCAAGACCTATTTCACAGATGCCTGGTGCTGGTTGGACTTCTGCATTGTTATGGTAAGTGTGCTTGTGAAGATAGATGGGGTTTGTTGCATTTGGTTTCAAGACCTTTTTGACAGATGCCTGGTGCTGGCTGAACTTCTGCATCTTTATGGTAGCATTGTAATAAAGACTAGTATTGCTGTAACAAGGACTAGTAAAGACTAGTAACACTGTAACAAAGACTAGTAAAACTGTAACAAAGACTAGTAACACTGTAACAAAGACCAGTAACACTGTAACAAAGACTAGTAACAATGCAACAAAGACTAGTAACACTGTAACAAAGACTAGTAACACTGTAACAAAGACTAGTAACACTGTAACAAAGACTAGTAACAATGCAACAGACTAGTAACACTGTAACAAAGACCAGTAACACTGTAACAAAGACTAGTAACAATGCAACAGACTAGTAACAACGCAACAAAGACTAGTAACACTGTAACAAAGACTAGTAATACTGTAACAAAGACTAGTAATACTGTAACAAAGACTAGTAATACTGTAACAAAGACTAGTAACACTGTAACAAAGACTAGTAATACTGTAACAAAGACTAGTAACATTGCATCTAAGACTAGTAACATTGTAAGAAGTACTAGTAACACTGTAACAAAGACTAGTAATACTGTAACAAAGACTAGTAATACTGTTAGAAAGACTAGTAATACTGTTAGAAAGACTAGTAATACTGTTAGAAAGACTAGTAATACTGTTAGAAAGACTAGTAATACTGTTAGAAAGACTAGTAATACTGTTAGAAAGACTAGTAATACTGTTAGAAAGACTAGTAATACTGTAACAAAGACTAGTAACACTGTAACAAAGACTAGTAACACTGTAACAAAGACTAGTAATATTGTAAGAAGTACTAGTAACACTGTAACAAAGACTAGTAATAATGTAACAAAGACTAGTAACACTGTTAGAAAGACTAGTAACATTGTAACAAAGACTAGTAACACTGTAACAAAGACTAGTAACACTCTAACCTACTGTGCATATCATAAGCAATGACTAAGGATGTTGCCATTAGACTGGTTATTTTTTCTTGTAGAAACTTAAGCTACAAAATCCAACCCGTCCTGGCCAAATCTTAAAAATACATACAGAAGTACTGATTGCAACATACCATGCAACTCAGCAGGCTGTGGCTTGGCTATCAATCAGCCATTAAACTGTGATACTTTGTGGCAATAGAAGAAAGACTAAACATTAATTTTCCAGAAAATCATTTGTAAAACTAAACAAAAAAGTACTTTGAATGTTACAAGAATAATCAGGAAATGAAAAAGATTGTGGCCTTCATATGAGATACTTGCAAATATCAACACTGCAACTACTTGCCTTCCATCATTTCAAAATGAAAACAGCAGATTAAATATCATCATCATCAGGTGCCTTGCCGACTGGCTCGGGCAATCATGTCTCTCCACAATCTGCGGTCTCCTGCAGCATGCATCAGTTTGTATGCTGATACACCTTTATGCAACGCAACAAGACTATCAGGAATCTTTTCTAGTTATCATCCTCTATCCTTTCACAGATCTTTCCAGTGGTCACAACATGTACTATTTTCTCTCTTCTCATAACATGGCCGAAAAATGGTGACTGTCTCCTTCTGATGTCTGTGATAAGTAGTCTTCAGGCTCCCGCCTTTTTCAAAACCTCTTGGTTGCTCTTTTTGGCTGTCCAAGGTTTTTTAAGCATTCTTCTGTAAAACCACATCTCTAAGGCCTCAAGAAATTTCTTGGCCTGCCAACCGATTGTCCAGGACTCACAGCCATGTGTTAAACAAGCAAGAATTCTTTTCCCAACCTTCAACAACAGAGATATACTGCATAAGATCTTTTCATTTCATAAAATGCAGTTTTTGCCTGTCCTATTCTGTTTATTATCTTGTTGATGCAACTTCCATCTGATGTTATCCATGTGCCCAGATACTTACATTTCTGTACTTGTCCCAAAATAACACCATTGACTTTTATTACACATTTAGGAATAAATCTTTTCTTTTATACCACCATCACATCTGTCTTTCCATTGTTCAAACTGAGGTCCATTCTTCCACTTTCTACCACCATAATTTCTATCATTTCCTGTAGTTCTTTCTGACTTGTTGCTATCAAGACTGTGACATTGGCATAACGCAAATTGTTTATACTATGCCCACCAACCACAATTCCAGACATATCAAGTAAAGATCTCATTATAGATTAACTGTATAATGAAAATAAATCAGGTGTCAGTACACGTAGGCCCCTCTTTATGCTCTGAAATGTACTTAAACAGTTGTTAATTCTTATAGCGTCTGTTTGCTGTCAATACATATTCTTTATTATTCGTAGATCTTTTCTATCAATGTTAAATTTTTCCAACATTTTGATTACTTCTTCATTCTTCACACAGTCAAATGCTTTTTTTTATAGTCTATGAAGCATAATTACAAATTAAACTTTACATCTCTTTCTGATAATATCCCTAGGATGTATATGGCATTGTTTGTACTATTTCCTTCTACAAATCCACATTGCTCATCGCTGATTTCTGGTTTAATTTTGCTTCTTATTTTTCTCATAATTAGATTAAATATGAATATTTCTTTTGACATGTGGGCATAGCAATGTTACCTGTTGTGTTTTAATGTGTCAGTGTTGTACAGGAGTAAGCGTCATGTGGCTACATTCACCTCGTCATCATCAGTCAGCAAGTCCTTCAGCTCTCTTCGTGGCACGCCTGAAAGGATCCCTTTCTCTAGCCAGCTCTTCAGCCCCATGTGCTTTCATTGCCAATGCATCTTCAATGTCTTGTATCCATCTTCACTGTGGTCGACCCCTGCCTCACCTTCCACAAACTGTACCTTCCATCACTATCTTTTCCAAGCCACGATGACGCTTGATGTGGCCAGAATACTTTAACATTCGGGACAGGATGCTGTTTATGAGCCAGTTTTCCTTGATAACATTCATCTGTTTTCTTTTCATTTCGGCAGCTGTCCATTGTAATGATGATTGGTGAGTCCATCCAAACGTCCAACACAGGAAACTTTGGTGCCATGAAGTCCATGAGAACTCTACGAGCTCTGCGTCCTTTGCGAGCTGTTAGTCGTTGGGAGGGCATGAGGGTAAGTGAATCCAGGTTGAAACTACCACAAGATTTGTTGGCTGTTAGTCGTTGGGAGGGCATGAGGGTAAGTGAATCCAGGTTGAAACTACCACAAGATTTGTTGGCTGTTAGTCGTTGGGAGGGCATGAGGGTAAGTGAATCCAGGTTGAAACTACCACAAGATTTGTTGGCTGTTAGTTGTTGGGAGGGCATGAGGGTAAGTGAATCCAGGTTGAAACTACCACAAGATTTGTTGGCTGTTAGTCGTTGGGAGGGCATGAGGGTAAGTGAATCCAGGTTGAAACTACCAAAAGATTTGTTGGCTGTTAGTCGTTAAGAGGGCATGAGGGTAAGTGAATCCAGGTTGAAACTACCACAAGATTTGTTGGTTTTCAGTTGTTGGGAGGGCATGAGGGTAAGTGAATCCAGGTTGAAACTACCACAAGATTTGTTGGTTTTCAGTTGTTGGGGGGAAGGGGGAATGAGAGTGAGTGAGCCCAAGTTGAAACTATCTCAAGATTTGTTGGTTGTCAGTTGTTTAGAGGGTATGAAGGTAAGTCGTGATGGGCAACCTTTTTGTGTTCAGCTGGCCAAATTTAGTATTACCATCCTTGGCATGGGCCATATAGAAAAAAATCCATTAAAACACTAATGCCCAGATTTTCCCATGGAACAATATTTTTGTTGGATAATCTAAGATTAAAATTCCCCACTAAACCTCTGGCCAGACACACTCACCCACCCAAGCTAATCTATTTATTCCTAAATACTTCTGTTCTGAGGAAAGGAACAGTCGTCACCTTATATTTTAATTTTACAGATACTGTCTGCTAATGTCTGAATTTGTTTCGCTAGAAGGATCAATAGATTGGTTACATCAGTTTCTGGTTATCACTGTTTTTTCAATGTTGATATTTGGAATTGTTTTATCTCTGCATACGAACATATGTTTTTATGTTTTGCTATCTTGATAGCTCAAGGGTCAGATAATATAGTAATTTAACACCAGCCCCCTTGGCCAGTAGAGATTGTTCAGGGGCCAGTTTTGGCCGGTGGTCTATAGTTTACCCACTCCTTGTGTACACAATCTGAAGTTGAAACTACCTTAAGATTTGAGGGTTGTTAGTCATTGGGAGGGCATGAGGGTAAGTTACAAATGTACCTAGAAAGATTTGCAAAAGAAAGATGCAAGCAGATACACAATGCTTCTGGGTCACCTCCACAATGAAGACTGGCTACAGTGCAGCCCCTGCATCCTTGAGAATATCACATAAATATTACAATTCCTTTCATGGTACACAGCTTATATTGTATCCAAAAAAATCATCAAAACTTTTTTTTTTTGGTTGTTGTTGTAAACAGCGGAAATTCAACCCTCATACTTGAGAATCATGAAACTCAGAGAACTTGCACACACGTGGTGAGAACCATTTTTGTCAATGAATAAAACAAAAAAGAAGAAAACTCACAAGAAGCTTCAAATGGAAATCTTAAAAATATAATAGAAAGTTCAATAATCATGCCATTTGTCTTGTAACCTGTCAATACTGTTATTGTCAAGGATGTCAAGGGTATTAAGCACGGAACATCCTGGTGCAGATGAACAAGGTGATGTCGAAAGGACAGTTTAAATATGGTCGCTCCACCTTTGACATGCACCAAAGTGGAGCAGCATTCTATTATCCATTTTTGTCTGTAGACACCTACAGACATGCATCAGTGAGTCCAGGATCTAATTTGGTGAAGGTCCAGTATGTTGATGCATGCCTGTCAGTCCAGCAGGTGTATGGTTGGAGTAGGAAGTTTCAAAATGGCTACACTTCTGTGACAGACTACTCAAGACTGTAGTTGCAAAACTGAAATAACAAGGTACCAAGTATTCAATGCTGGCTGATGTTTCTATTACTGTTGTTGTTGTCTTGCCGCTGCTGCTGCTGCTGCTGGGACCAAGTTTGATATTGATAACTACTTATTACAACATCAATGAAATTTTCCTGCAGGTTGTTGTGAATGCCCTGTTTAAAGCCATCCCCTCCATCTGTAATGTGCTTCTTGTCTGCCTGGTCTTCTGGCTGATTTTTGGAATCATGGGAGTGCAGCTCTTCAGTGGCAAGTTTCATGCGTGCAGAAATGGTACCACCAAATTTGATCCTGATCAGGTAACACTGTTGTGTTTACACGTCAATAGAAATATTCATATCTCATCTGCTGTTTTCATTCTGAAACGAAGTAGGGCAATTAGTTGAAAGGTTGTTATTTGCAAGATTTTCATTTGAAAACCAAGATTTTTTTCAATTTATTGATTATTCTTGGTTTTGTGAAAATATTTATGTACCATAGTGTTCAACAATTTATTTTCTATGGAAATTAATGTTTAGTCTTTCATCTTTTGTCAAGTTCTGTTTCATGCCACTGGGCGCCACAGTTTAATGGAGGATAGTTAGCAAAACCAGGGCATGCGCTGCTGTTTATTATGATGTGATGTTGTGAGGCCTTAAACTGTCAGTGAATCCTTCAGTCCATCTTCTTCTAGGTTTCCTCTTAGTGTTTCTATTTTCATGTTGAACCCTTTAGATGTCAATATCTTGGGCTCACTCTCACTAAGTGCCCGATCCATTGTAGTCTTTGTTTCTCAGTATATTTAATTATAAGTATTGTTCAATTAGCGGCATCCGTGGCTACGGTGTTGCGTCAATCCAACGTACCGCGATCGAAACCCACTGCGGGCTGCGTAGATTTTTATCATGGTATGGGACGTCGCAGGTCGACCCAGCCTCAAATGGGTACCAGGATGGGCTTTGCTGGGAAAGTAAAGACAGCCGGCGTAATGCTGACCACATTACCCACCGAGTGCTGATGCCCGATACGCCTAAAGGCGTGAAAGGGATCTTTACTTTACTTTACTTATTGTTCAATTAATTCTTCTAATCTCTTTGTGTCCTCCATGATCTCTATTAGTTTTGTTTGCTGCCTTTCTCTAACATCTTATTTCACAGGTAGTTAGTTTTTTCTCTCCTGTTCTCTGGTTAGTGTCCAAGTCTGACACTGGTACCCTAAAGATTGCATTTATTTTGTGTCTTTTAATCTCCGCTGGAGTAGCAAGATAATACAAGACTGGGTTTAGTTGATGCATAGCATTATTGACTTGGTGGATTCTTGTTTCTGTCTCTCTGTAATGTTAACCATTTTATGTAAAAATGCTAAGGGATATTTAAATTCTTTGACTTGTTTCAGGCTTTTTGTCTTTTACCTTTGTTAGGATTGCTTCATGCTCTCTGATTATGCTCATGACTTCTGTTTTTCAATGTTTATTTGCGTGTGATATTTGAGGCAGCTGTTGTATAGTTGGTTTATGTGGCCCTGGAGCTGTTTATTTTCCCTGTGGAATGGGCATTGGTTGTCAACAAACAGCAGCTCATTGAAGTCTTCTTGTGGATGCTGATATGTGTTGTGTCAATACCATCCATGAATATGATAGAAAGCAAAGGTTATAAGAGACACCCTTCTTTTACTCCTGAGTTCAACAGGATCCTGTCTGTAAGGCCAGGTTTTGTTAGTTTATGTTTGAAATTGGTCAAATGTGTGCAATTAAAAAAGAAACAGAGAAACTTTCATATATCACAAATGTTAAAAATTATGTTGTATTTCTTTTTTTTTTTTTACTGTAATGAATTAATTTTCCAGACTCTAGATCTATTTCAATCAGAGTAATTTTATTAACCTGTTTATGATTGGCTGGATTTCACAGCTTACTAGTCTACAACAGGGCTATTCAACTAAGTTTACTCAGGGGCCAATGTTTTGAAAATGGAGATCGTTTTGAGTCAGAAGTCCAAGCCCCAACATATTAGGATCATTAATACAGTACAACTGGCAATGATCCGTGGGCCACTTGCTAGGCCTCTGTCAGATTTGGCCTCAGATGTGGGATCAGTTGAATAGCCCTGGTCTACAAAAACAGGTGGTCAGTCTCACACAACTCTTGGTTGTTTAATTCTGTCAGTCTCAAACAGTTTTTACTTACACTTTTTCTATTCTAAGACATTTGACTTTAAGGTATTAAATGTTTAGGTGGTATTAGAAGTAATTTATACAACAATGTCCTGTTCCAACCAATTCGGGTTATAATTAGGACATATAGTATTTTCTTCTATTTCAATAATGGATATATAGGCCTGTCAATTATGTATTAATTCATTAAGATTGTTGGAGTATAGATTGTCAAGCTCAATAGATTTAAAGTGTACTTTCAAATAGTTATACTATTTATAGTGTGCTGTCTATCTTGGATTTTTTTTTTTTTTTTTTTTTAAATATTATGATCTAGAAACCATGATTTGTAAACCCTTTGGCTCAGTACTATGGATATCGTAACTCTTCAGTCTTGATTCCATGACAGATACCGTAAATCTGGGAAGCATGTTATTAAAAGTGATCTGTGGTACCATTATTCTGTTCTCAGATATATTAATACCTCATATGCTAACCTTTGTTCTTGTGATGTACTGTTCAATCCTTCCCTGTAGTTTTATAGAGGAATCTATTCCTAGCATTTTTTCTATTCTCATAAGCTTTTTGCAGTGCATCGCATATTTATTAACAGGAGTTATGTTTATGTTCCTTAACAGGAATTATGTTTATGTTCATTAACAGGAATTATGTTTATGTTCATTAACAGGAGTTATGTTTATGTTCATTAACAGGAGTTATGTTTATGTTCATTAACAGGAGTTATGTTCATGTCAGAAGGAATTACACAAAAGCCGTAGTTAGTTACAAAAAGAAAAAAAAACTGGTTGAATCGGTTAAACTATAAAATTCAGTATGAGCCGGTGTAGCTGTTATCTGTTATTGAAGAATGTAAGAACAGTTTAGTGTTTTTAGAATGGCCAAGAAATGCAAGGTGAGTTGTGCGGTTCCCCAGGAATTAATATTAAAAATAGCAATAAGTGCGAAAAAATCCAAGAGGCTTTTGCAAGACACTATTTTTCTAATGCGCCATGATGGAAGTGACACTGTGCAAAAGCCTGTAATGTGATAACGATTTATTTTCTCCAAACTCAAAAGGTACACAATAAAACAGACTGTACGGACCAAGGGTACAATTGGACAAATGCAAAAATCAACTTTGACAACGTTCTGGCTGCATACCTGGCTCTGTTTCAAGTGGTAAGTAGATCACTGCTACATTCTAGAAGCGAATTTAAATTTCACCCTCTACATGTATCTTACCAACTGTTATGGGCACTTTAGTTTTTGAACAAATCTTGCTCATCATTGGAATATGATGTGTTATAGTTCATATTTTCTCTGAACCATAATGATAGGCAAAAGATTTCTGTCTCTGCCTTCATCAGCTTTTTTTTTTTTTGTCAATCAATTCCATGCAAATTATTACATGTTCCTGCTTCTTTTTCTGTGTTCGCCCAGAGATTTGCACTTTCTGTTGTTGTTTACAGCTAGGCTGTGACATCTACACCTTTTTGGTCCAACATATTTGATTGCAGCAACCCTTTATTGGCCACCTTTTATGACATAGGTATTAAGATAAGTCTGCAAGCTTTGGTTGAATGATAAATTTATTTTGCCTCGGACACAAGGAAGTGGTCATAAGCTCATCAAGCTAATTTCAATTGCATAACACATTTACACAATTTACCTTCTATTATTATTTTAGCTTTCAAATGATATTGTAACTAAACCTGGCCAACATGTTTGGTGGTGTAGTCATTGCCTTTATTTACCACTTGCGGTAGGATTAGGTGGGGGAGGGGTAGGTGTCTTCAAGCCTGAGTATTTAGGGCCACATGGCTAATGAAGTCACCACTAACTGCAGGTTAAGATTTTACCTACCCCTAAAAGAATAAAAAATCCATAATCTTACAGAGAATTCAAACTTGGGTCTCCCACTTGAAAACCTGGCATTGTTAACCTTTGGCCAGCCACCTGGTACACTTTTGGTAACCTATCCCATTCATTGCTACTGTGGGAAATGGGTGAGCTAAAATACTGGATGTCCTCAGAGTGGCAGGGTGATAGACTAAATGAACAAAGTGATCACTATATCATTCATTGTGGTGCATCTCCAACAGTAAGTCAACCACTGTGGGGTCAAATCCTCCCAAGATGGCCATTTCCCCCATTAACCTCTATCCTCACAGATACAGTTTCCAGTCTGCATCATAGTTTGCCTTTCAACAAACAATACTATAGTGATCAGCAGAGAAGAGACAGACCAAGAAAGATCTGGATACAGAACTTGACTGACTATAAAGGTCATAACTATTCAGCAATGAAGTCCATCACATTTGACCGTCAAATGTGGAGAGTCAACAGCAACTGGTGATCCAACAACACACAGCATTACAGGATGATGATGATGATGATAACTATATGCTGGGTCCTTTATGAGAGAACAAGAACTGCGTGCCAGAGTTATGAAAGCCGAGCAAGAGAACTATGCAAGATGTAAAAGGATAGTCAAAACAAAGCAGTGCTGTCAGCCATTGGGATGCAGAGGGAGTGAACTGAGGCACCAGGTCTAGGGCTTATGCTTGTCAAGACCTGTCTACAGGTCTCATGGTCATCCTAGAACGGGTTCAAGCAATCATGAAAAATTAATCCTAGCCCTTCATCAGTCCACACAGAAAGACCACCATCCTGACATGCAAGTAAACTAAACACAATACAGTTTTGTCTCTGTAGCAATATGCTCATGGCTCATTATTTATCTCTTGTCTTTTCCTAATATAGGCCACTTACAAAGGTTGGATTGAAATTATGTATGATGCAGTCGACTCTACTGAAGTAAGTCTACTTATTATGTTTTTCCATTCTATTACAATTTTGTTTTTTCTTGGTTTAACAGAATATCATCATCATCATCATCATCATTATCATTATTATCATCTTTCTCCTCCTCCTCATTCTCATCAGCAGCATCATCATCATCATCAGTGTCTTCCTCTTCTTTCCTCTTCTTCCTCCTCTTCCTCTTCTTCTTTTTCTTCTACTTCTTCTTTTTCTTCTTCCTTCTCTTCTTCCTTCTCTTTCTCTTCTTCTTCCTCTTCTTCCTCTTCCTCTTCTTCTTTTTCTTCTTCTTTTGCTTCTTGCTTCTCTTCTTTTTCTTTTTCTTGTCCTTAGTTGAAGTACCTTTGAAGTGGTTAGTTAGTTAGTTAGTCTTTCCTCTTGTGTCGAGTGCGGCACATAGGGCAGAGGTCGCGACTCTCCATGCACGGCGGTCCGTTGCAATCCGTTGTAGGTCTTGGATGTTTGAGTGACCCATGATCGAGCCTTCCCTGATGATAGTTCTACGTAGGGTTTCCCTTGGTCTTCCACGAGATCTTTTCCCCTGTGGTGTCCAAATGAGGGCTTGGTAAGGAAGTCTTGATTTATCCATTCTAAGGGCGTGGCCGACATAGTTCCAGCGGCGTTTTCGTATTAAATTAGACACATACTCTTGCCTGGATTCTTGCCTTATTTGTGTATTGGTTCGGAAATCTGACCATTTGAAATTTAGTATTCTTCTAAGGCATTTATTTTCAAAACTGTCTAATTTTGTGTCTAGAGTTTTCATTGATTTCCAGCTCTCGCATCCATAGGTTAGTACTGGAATCACACAAGAATTGAAGATCTTGAGTTTTGTGTGTTTGCTAAGTGTCTTTGATTTCCAGATGTTAGACAGTTTATCTTGAAGTGGTTGCTGCATGGAAATGCCTAATTTGCAGTGACTTCGATTGGAATAAAATAACATTCAAGGTTGACCTCTGCTACAGTATAATCATGTGTGCAAGTGGGATATGAATGATACAGGTATTAAAGTGGATTCATGGAAACAAAATACCATAAACTGTGTTGCATAGGGGTGCAAATTAGGACAGAAATGAGAGTAAAGGAAGAAATTATTGTAGAAAGGATAAGAGCCGCACTTTTGAGAAGAAACACACTAAATATAAATGATGGCAACAGTGGTCCTGAAATCCCGAGCTAAAATTGTGGAAGACTTTTTTTAACACTGTGGGTCTTGCTTGTCACACTCACCATAGCCATTGGTGAGTGAGTCCCATGCCTTCTTATAGCCCAATATTGCACTATTATCTGGGGGCCGCATTAGCGCAGTCGATAAGAAGCTCGCTTTCAAATCCAGCTGCGACTCGCTGCAGCCCACTGTCGGTGTTCGAAACCGGGCGGCTTCCAGGGTTCACCCAGCCTCTAGGAAATGGGTACCAGACTTGACACTCTGGGGTAAATGGAGGAACATCGCTGTAGCTACAGACTTACGTGCGAACAAGGACACAGGCTGACAATTCTTATCAGCTATCTGTACTGGTGGCAGAGCACTTATGGTTTGTAACCGTGTGGAATGACGCTTGTTCACATCTCCCGACTTGACCTTTACATCTGGAAAGATTGAAAGGTGCCGATTGAACAGTCAGTAGGGGACTGCTGTAACCTGGTGATTGGGCACATCTCTGCTGACAGAATTGTTGAAAGTTGAATTCAGAATTGACATCATAGCACTGGGACACTCCCTTAAGCGCTCTATTCCCATCTTCAGCAGCAAGTGAAGAGTTCTTTTCCGATGGCACCACTAACTGTCTGATTGAATATCCATCTTGCCTTTTCCTTGAGTTGACAGAACTGTCTAATTGTTTATGTGTTTCTTATTTTTTCAGGTTGGCTTTCAACCCAGAACTGAAGGAAACACCTACTATTACATCTATTTTGTCATGTTCATTGTATTTGGTTCTTTCTTCACACTTAACCTCTTCATTGGTGTCATCATTGAGAATTTTAACACGCAGAAGAAGAAGGTAAGCATCTGAGTTTTTTAATCTTTTTTTTTCTGCTTCTTCTTCTTCCTTTCTTCTTCTTCTTCTTCTTCTCCTTCCTTGTGTTTACTGACTGTAAACTCTGGTGGAAAGTTCTGGTTATTCATTCCACTTATTGATGATCCACAACTTGAGTTTTTTGAGTTTATATGTTTTACAGATTTGGCTTGCATGCAAATTGTTGCCTTCTCACCTGTCTAGCAAATGTATCTGGACTTCAAAGGAATCACCCCTCTTATGACATGCTGTTGGGGAGGAAGGGGAAGTGACTCTATTCTATTCTTCCCCCAGAATAGGGTCTCTTGTTTTATTCTAGCATTAAAATGTGGTATAAGAGTTAGGTTGCTTCCCTGTTAAGACAATTGCCCAGGTTCAATTCCTAGCATATGTATAATTATTTTTCTAGCCTAGATAATTGTAAAAATAATCTTGAAATAGGAGAAAAAGGGCAGTGAAGGAATGAACTGACTTTCCCACACTGTATGTCTTGGTTTAAAAAAAGGTGAAGGCCAAAGAATTCACATTCTAACAACAGTACTTTAGGTTTAGCAGATTACCTGTCTTTTTCCTAATATGAATCTTCTAGTTTTAGTTTTCTTGGCAATTATGTGACACAGATTCTCTATCAGAAATGTTTTTGACACCATAAAATAACATAGTTAAAATATTATCAGTAACATGGCATAAAGTGGTTACACCTGGCACACTAGTTTGCCCATGAGCTCCTGTACAACCCTACCCCTACAGAAGACTAGACAAACCACACAGCCTAACAACCATTGACAGAAGACTAGACAACAACTACAGCATGGAATGTAGACCCAAACCCTAACACACAGCATGGAATGTGTAAGAAGGTGACAACCATTGACAGAAGACTAGACAACAACACACAGCATGGAATGTGAAAGAAGGTGACAACCATTGACAGAAGACTAGACAACAACACACAGCATGGAATGTGTAAGAAGGTGACAACCATTGACAGAAGACTAGACAACAACACACAGCATGGAATCTATGACAACCATTGCAGAAGACAGACAACAACACACAGCATGGAATTGTACAACTATTGACAGAAGACAAGACAACAACACACAGCATGGAATGTGTAAGAAGGTGACAACCATTGACAGAAGACTAGACAACAACACACAGCATGGAATGTGTAAGAAGGTGACAACTATTGACAGAAGACTAGATACCACTCCGTGACAACCATTGACAGGAGACTAGACAACAACACACAGCATGGAATGTGTAAGAAGGTGAAACTAGACAACAACACACAGCATGGAATGTGTAAGAAAGATGACCAGGAAGACTAGGACACAGCATGGAATGTGTAAGAAGGTGACAACTAGCGTAAGACCATACAACAACACACAGCATGGAATGTGTTTTGACAACCATTGACAGAAGACTAGACAACAACACTTGATTTCACATTGACAGAAGACTAGATAACAACACACAGCATGGAATGTGAAAGAAGGTGACAACCATTGACAGGAGACTAGACAACAACACACAGCATGTAGGTGTTGACAGGAGACTAGACAACAACACACAGCATGGAATGTGTAAGAAGATGACAACCATTGACAGGAGACTAGGCAATAACACACAGCATATTATGTGTAAGAAATGTTTGACAGCACACGGCATGATAATTTACAACCATGTAGTATAAATTTTAAGAAGATGAAGACAGCTGACGGAAGAATTCACACATAGCATATTAATTTTTAGGTTCTATCTGGTGGTTGTCATCACGAGATGGAAAGGGGAGGGGATGTGGTGGGAGGTGAGGACCAGAATTAATATTTTACAATGCCATGAAACGAATGTCAGCCAAGTCTAAGCGGGTTTTTATTAAGTGTTGTTTTTAAAGAAACGGTGGGGGTGGGGTGGGGGAAAACAGAAATTTTGGGAGAATAAAGAATAGATCCACTGCCCCCACAGCCAGCGAACACACAAGAAGAAGAAAAGATCTAGTAAGTTTCCACACAAAATATGATTCCAGGCTGGTGGTGTCAAGGAATTCATTTTTTTGCCATATTTTATGTCAATTCTTATCTTATTAAAATGTATGTCTTGAATTAGCCGTTTTTTGTTTTTGTTTTTTCTTTGTCTCTGTATTTAAAATATATTATCCTACATCCCCGTGTGGGTTCCAGGGCCCTATTATAGGGAAAACAAGAATAGACCCACTGCCTACCCAAAAGCATGTTGTAAGAGTCGACTCATTGGGAAGCTTCCTTTGAAGTCGGAGTGCATCTGCCTGAGAGGCAAGGAACCAGCAGTCTGCATACAAATGAGTCAGATTTGTAAAACGGATGCACACACAACACTCAGGTTTTGGAGCAGGACTGCAGTCCAGAAGTGGATGAACAACCAGAACTTTCCGCCACCATTTACTGCTAGTGAGCGCGAAGAAGAAGATATTATCCTACATTATTTGTGTATTTGGCCCATGTGGAAGTAGTATATCCATGATTTAAATGACGTCATTGTGTCTCTCTTGGACATTAGCTAAAGCTATCTGGGACTTTCTTAACAGTCTTGTTGCATGGCATGGAGGTGTGTCAGCATACAAACTAATACATGCTGCAGGAGATCGCAGATTGTGGAGAGGCATGATCGCCCACGCCAGTCAACAAGGCACCTGATGATGATGATGATCTGGAACTGAAAGGGTTAACATAAACTTAATTAAAATTAACACTCAGTTAATATTAACACAATTTTGAACCCAACAGGGATGTACATCTGTTATTACTTTTCAACACAAACATTTGATTTCTCAGTTCTTTAAAATTCGTGTTAACAAGTTTTTACATATTGTAACATTGTTACTGTAAACTGTGGTGTATATAAGTCAAGTTTTGAAGCCTAAAACATATTTCCAAAACTAGTGGTCAATATATGTCGGTGGGTTTCTTCTTCTTATTTCCATTCACTAGTTGTAAACACCAGCAAAATGTTCTGGTTGTTTGTCCACCTCCAGACTTTAGTTCCAGAAAGTGAGTGTTGCATGCGCATTCATTTTACAGTTCTGACTTATTTGTATGCAGACTGTTCATTCCTTGCCTCTCAGGCAGATACACTCTGACTTTGAAGGAAGCCCCCAGTTGTGACTCTTTTTACATGCATGTTGGGAAGGAAGTGAGTATATTCTTGTTTCCCCCACAATGGGGCTCCAAAAGCCACACAGGGGCTCCAAAATCCACACAAGGTTTTTAAAGACTCCTTGACTAAACATGGGCTATAAAAATATATATAACATATTGATTGGAACACATAAATATTATCCAATCACATGCAATGTTTTGTTTGGGACTGCAAAAGTTAGCCAGGTTTTACTGCAGCTAGTTTTCTATTTATGTCTATTTCAGAACAAACTGGCAGCACTCATCTATGACATTACCACAGACCAGAAGTTTGATATTGTTATTATGGTCATCATTATCCTCAACATGCTGACTATGATGTTTGAGCACAATGGGATGCCGGCCCAGCTGAAGGAAATTCTCCATATCTTCAATCTCATCTTTATTACCATTTTCACTGCGGAATGTGTGTTGAAGCTGATTGGTCTGCGATGGTACTACTTCAAAGTTCCTTGGAATGTCTTCGACTTTATTGTGGTTGTCTTATCTATTTTAGGTAAATATAATTGTTCGTCTCTAAACTTCTTCTTACTTTTTTGTTCACCGATTGTAAGCCCCAGCGGAAAGTCCTGGTTGTTCGTCTGTTTAGACTTTGGCTTTGTGCCAGAGCCTGAGTTTTGTGTGTACATCCATTTTACTGGCTTACTTGTTTGCAGTTGGTTGTTACTTGCCTCTCAGGAGGATGTACTCTGACTTTGAAGAAAGCTCCCAATTAGATGTCTCCTATGACATGTTTGGGGGAGGCAGTGGTCTATTATTCTTTTTCCCCCCACACTGGAATATATTTAAACATATCTTTTCTTTTTCTTATTTTCTTCTTCTTCTTCTTCTTCTTCTTCTTCTTCTTCTTCTTCTTCTTCTTCTTCTTCTTCTTCTTCTCTGCAGTCACCAGCTGTAAACTTCGACGGAAAGTTCTGGTTGTTCATCCACTTATGGGCTTTAGTCTTGTTCCAGAACCTGACTTTTGCATGCACATTCATTTTACAGATCTGGCTTATTTTCACTTTTGGTTCCTCTCAGACAGATGCACTCCTAACTTCAAAGAAAACATCCGTAATTGGTTGACTTTTATGACCTACTTTATGGTGCAGTGAAATCTCTTCACGTGTTTTTCACAACCTGGCCCCAAAACCACACAAAGACATTTTAACATAAAAAAATGAATATGTTACGGGATGCAGAGGTGCTTAAACACAAAGTGGTGCACAACGACCAGGGCTCATACTGATCCCGACCTATCCACACCTCTCTGCAGTTATCAAGGGAAACAGGTACCCAACATAAAGCCTGGCCAATGTAGAAAGCATCAGTGATTACTTCAAAGTCACAGTGCATCTGTACGAGAGGCAAGGAACCAACAGTTCACACACAAATAGGCCAAATTTGTAAAACAGATATGCAGGCAACCATCAAGTCCTAGAATAAGACCACAGTCCACTGATAGATGAATGACAAGAATTTTATGCCAGAGTTTACAGCTGGTGAACAGGAACAAGAAGATGAATGTTTTGTGTGTGTGTTTTTATTTGTTTTTGTAGCAGTGACTTATAACCGTGGCATGGTGTCAGTATAATCAGTGTGTTCGGTGCTTACAGGTCATTATATCGTTATTAGCAGATTCTTTGCAAAAAGTCAGTCTCATTATGGCCTGCTGCAAAACTGCTTGGTCATCATGTTTCCTATCCATACAACAAACTATAATTCATTTTAATATTCTTGTAAGCATTATCCTGGTGTGTCGGCTCTGTGACTAAGTTGATGCGAACGCTTCGTAATGACGAGGTCCCGGGTTTGATCCCAGCTGCAGGCCATGCGCCTTGCATTGGTTTTCGACAGTGGTATCAGGGGCCGACCATCCAGGAAGCAATGGCAAACTTCTTCTTCTTCTTCTTCCCTTCCTCTTTTACCGCTGTGGGTGTCGAGGGAGATATAAGGTTCTGTTTCTGGCTCTTCTGGCTGCCTCGACCATAGGCACATCGTGCTGTTGTAGAGCTTCTCTGATGTTATCCTTCCATCTTGTTCTTGGTCTACCTCTTGCTCTATGACCTTCTTCTCTTTCCATGTATGCTTTGTATGGTATGGTGTCACAAGGCATTCTCTCTAAGTGGGCAAACCATTTCACTTGCTGTCTTTGTATGTAATTTAGAATTGGTTCTGTGCCGACTTTTTCTCTTATGATCTCATTCCTGATCTTATCTCTTATGGTCACTCCTACAGCCCTTCTCAGACATCTCATTTCCATGGTTACTAATTTTTGCTACAGAAAAACACAATGAGATATAAATGGCAAACTACTGGACGTAAATTTGCCTAGAGAAACCACACAACAGCCAGGGAGCTGCTGGGGTTGGTTCTGCAACGTCCTGTAAAGGATATGCAACTAACCTATTATCCTGGTGTACAGAAGTGAATTATAAACAGTTGGATGATTAGTGAACAATTATTTGCAAGAGTGGAGATGTGATTTATAGAAGAATGATGAGAACCCTCGACAGATAAAAAGAGTAATGAAGATGTTTTGAAAGAAACTGGTTCTAAAGAAAACTGACCTGCCCACATCAGGAGACAATCTAACCTGCCCACATCAGGAGACAATCTAACCTGCCCACATCAGGAGACAATCTAACCTGCCCACATCAGGAGACAATCTAACCTACCCACATCAGGAGACAATCTAACCTACCCACATCAGGAGACAATCTAACCCGCCCACATCAGGAGACAATCTAACCTGCCCACATCAGGAGACAATCTAACCTACCCACATCAGGAGACAATCTAACCCGCCCACATCAGGAGACAATCTAACCTGCCCACATCAGGAGACAATCTAACCTGCCCACATCAGGAGACAATCTAACCTGCCCACATCAGGAGACAATCAAACCTGCCCACATCAGGAGACAATCTAATCTACCCACATCAGGAGACAATCTAATCTACCCACATCAGGAGACAATCTAACCTACCCACATCAGGAGACAATCTAACCTACCCACATCAGGAGACAATCTAACCTGCCCACATCAGGAGACAATCTAATCTACCCACATCAGGAGACAATCTAACCTACCCACATCAGGAGACAATCTAACCTACCCACATCAGGAGACAATCTAACCTACCCACATCAGGAGACAATCTAATCTACCCACATCAGGAGACAATCTAACCTACCCACATCAGGAGACAATCTAACCTACCCACATCAGGAGACAATCTAACCTGCCCACATCAGGAGACAATCTAACCTACCCACATCAGGAGACAATCTAATCTACCCACATCAGGAGACAATCTAACCTACCCACATCAGGAGACAATCTAACCTACCCACATCAGGAGACAATCTGACATGCCCACATCAGGAGACAATCTAACCTGCCCACATCAGGAGACAATCTAACCTGCCCACATCAGGAGACAATCTAACATGCCCACATCAGGAGACAATCTAACCTACCCACATCAGGAGACAATCTAACCTACCCACATCAGGAGACAATCTGACATGCCCACATCAGGAGACAATCTGACATGCCCACATCAGGAGACAGTCTGACATGCCCACATCAGGAGACAATCTAACCTGCCCATATCAGGAGACAATCTAATCTACCCACATCAGGAGACAATCTAATCTACCCACATCAGGAGACAATCTAACCTGCCCACATCAGGAGACAATCTAACCTGCCCACATCAGGAGACAATCTGATCTACCCACATCAGGAGACAATCTAACCTACCCACATCAGGAGACAATCTAATCTACCCACATCAGGAGACAATCTAACCTGCCCACATCAGGAGACAATCTAACCTGCCCACATCAGGAGACAATCTAACCTACCCACATCAGGAGACAATCTAACCTACCCACATCAGGAGACAATCTGACATGCCCACATCAGGAGACAATCTGACATGCCCACATCAGGAGACAGTCTGACATGCCCACATCAGGAGACAATCTAACCTGCCCACATCAGGAGACAATCTAACCTACCCACATCAGGAGACAATCTAACCTGCCCACATCAGGAGACAATCTAACCTACCCACATCAGGAGACAATCTAACCTGCCCACATCAGGAGACAATCTAACCTGCCCACATCAGGAGACAATCTAACCTACCCACATCAGGAGACAATCTAACCTAACCACATCAGGAGACAATCTGACATGCCCACATCAGGAGACAATCTAACCTACTCACATCAGGAGACAATCTAACCTACCCACATCAGGAGACAATCTAACCTACCCACATCAGGAGACAATCTGACATGCCCACATCAGGAGACAATCTGACATGCCCACATCAGGAGACAATCTAACCTGCCCACATCAGGAGACAATCTAACCTGCCCACATCAGGAGACAATCTAACATGCCCAAATCAGGAGACAATCTAATCTACCCACATCAGGAGACAATCTAATCTACCCACATCAGGAGACAATCTAACCTGCCCACATCAGGAGACAATCTAATCTACCCACATCAGGAGACAATCTAATCTACCCACATCAGGAGACAATCTAACCTGCCCACATCAGGAGACAATCTAACCTGCCCACATCAGGAGACAATCTGATCTACCCACATCAGGAGACAATCTAACCTACCCACATCAGGAGACAATCTAATCTACCCACATCAGGAGACAATCTAACCTGCCCACATCAGGAGACAATCTAACCTGCCCACATCAGGAGACAATCTAACCTACCCACATCAGGAGACAATCTAACCTACCCACATCAGGAGACAATCTAATCTACCCACATCAGGAGACAATCTAACCTGCCCACATCAGGAGACAATCTGACCTGCCCACATTAGGAGACAATCTAACCTGCCCACATCAGGAGACAATCTAATCTACCCACATCAGGAGACAATCTAATCTACCCACATCAGGAGACAATCTAATCTACCCACATCAGGAGACAATCTAACCTACCCACATCAGGAGACAATCTGATCTACCCACATCAGGAGACAATCTGATCTACCCACATCAGGAGACAATCTGATCTACCCACATCAGGAGACAATCTGATCTACCCACATCAGGAGACAATCTAACCTGCCCACATCAGGAGACAATCTAACCTGCCCACATCAGGAGACAATCTAACCTACCCACATCAGGAGACAATCTAATCTACCCACATCAGGAGACAATCTAACCTGCCCACATCAGGAGACAATCTAACCTGCCCACATCAGGAGACAATCTATATTTTTTTATCATGTCATAAAAAGGAGAAAACTGGAGTACATCGTGGTGGTGGGGAAAAGAGGCGAAGATGCTGGACAGTTTGACGTCATCGTATTATGGAAGATCATCTGTGTCAGAATAAATTGAAAGTACACAAGACAGAAGGTTGTGGACAGACATGACTACCAATGCCACACAGCACTGACTGTAGGAAGAGCAAGCATTTAAGGGTCTACCAAAGTTATACTCAATGTTTATCGGGGTCATTCTCTGTCCAGACATCTAGGCTATGGGTGAAATGTCCCTAAGTGACCTTGGATTAGTTTTCTGCTTTTACTCTATGGCCTAGATAATCGGCAGGTGACCGACTGCAATTCACTTTGAACATGACTGTGAGAGAGCATACCTTCATGTGCATATCATTTTTTTTTCTTAGTAGATCAGAAGTAAATTTATAAAGTAAACTCAGTTTTTAGCTTATACAGATTACTTGTTTTGTAGAATATTAATCTACATTTCTGTGTTTAACTTTTGAATATTTCTTTTGCAGCTTCTTCAGTTGGAGAATATGAAGATGCATTTTTCATTTCTCCAACACTGCTTCGAGTCATCAGAGTGTTTCGTGTCGGTCGAATTCTACGTCTCGTCAAATCTGCTAAAGGCATACGCACACTTCTGTTTTCCCTGGCAGTGTCCCTTCCCGCCCTTTTCAACATCGGCCTTTTGCTTGGTCTAGTCATGTTCATCTATGCCATCATGGGTATGAATTTCTTTCAGAGTTGTCCCCAGAAGTTTGGACTCAATGATGTCTTCAATTTTGACACCTTTATAAGCAGTTTCATTCTCCTATTTCAAATGTGCACCAGTGCTGGATGGAGCGATGTTCTCAATGGACTTATTTCTGAATGTCCAGACAAAGGAAGCTGCCGAGAATACAACATAGCTGCGCCATATTTAGCATCGTACTTAATCATCACTTTTCTAGTGGTCATCAACATGTACATCGCTGTCATCTTGGAGAACTTCAGTCAGGCTACAGAGGATGTTCAGCAAGGTTTGACTCCGGATGACTTTGATATGTACTACGAGAAGTGGGAAAAGTTTGATCCCAAGGCAACCAAGTACATACCTCTGGACCAGTTGTCTGACTTTGTGGACTATCTGGAGGAGCCTTTGAGACTACCTAAGCCTAATCACTTCATTCTGGTCAAACTAGACATCCCTATATGTGAGCATGATCGATGCTACTGTCGGGATATTCTTGATGCTCTGACTAAAAACTTCCTGGGCACATCAGAGACTGTGGAAATTCCTCACAAAGAAAATGACAAGGATAAAGCAGAGTACAAACAGATCAGTTCTACGTTGCGGCGGCAGAAAGAACACTATGCAGCTAGGATCATACAGAAAGCCTACAGAAATTTTAAAGGCATCACTTTAGACCCTCTACAAGAAAGCTATGATGAAGAAACAGATGATGATTCGCGTAGTGGTAGTGGTGATGTTGATCGATCCAGTTCTAACTCTTCGGGCAAAGGCAAAAGAGGTGATAAGTCAGGAGGAGGGAACCTCCCACCTCCGCCTTCGTACAGTGACGTCATGAAAAAAGAGAGGGAATATCAAGAAAAAAGAGACACAAAAGGTGACAGGTCTAAAAGAACCAACGGGGAATCATCCTCTAGCAAGAAAAGTGACGACAGATGTGAACGGACAAATGGTCAAAACAAAAGTATTTCCAGGAGAGCTAGCGAGAATGTGACTGTTGCTCAAGTTAATGAAACTGACTGCTATCCAAAAACAGTGGAGCTTGGTCCGGATAGTGGGATTGTAGCATGAAGTTCAAGCTAAATGTTTTTGCTTTTACATTGTTTTTTTTTTTTTTTTTTTTTTAAAGAATTGGTGGCTTTTTTTTTCTTCAGTGTATAAATATGGTAAATATTTCAGAAAATTTGAGTGACTGGTGAAAGTCAAATTTGTAATGGTGGTTATATGCAATAATTCATTTATTTCATCATTACATTTTAGTACATGAAGAGGTTTTGAAGTACAAAGCACTCCTCTCCTTAATTATGCTGATATTTGATCCAACATTAAAACACACATTTTACTAGAAAAGTGATAGAAAAAGGAACAGTACAATTAAATTTTATCACATTCCTTCTGTATGAAAAAGAAACATAACTATGTTTGACAGCAGGAGGAGTGGACTTAAACTGTTTGCTTTTCTTCAGTCAGTAAAAGCTAACTGATTCACAAAATACAACACAAATAAAAATTGTTTCAGAATAAGAGGAGAAACCTAAGAATATATAACCTGTCAGATATTGTAAAATAAAGTCACTCACTATCAGCAGCTAAATACTGCCACAGGTGGGGGGAAAAGAAAGAGGGTAAAGGATACTTTTTAACACACAGGCATGTGATGCTAACTCATATTTTTATCAGTAGATGATGTGCTCAGTTTCATAATGACTGTCACTGAAACTTTCCACTTGCTAGAAAATGCCATATACACACATATACACACATCGTAATTGCAGCTGACTCAGAAAGCATGCTGACGAAGGCAAGGACAGGCATGCTTCGTGCAGAGTGGCATGCTTGAGGCCTTATGGGAGCACACATACAATTTGGAACAGAAAATTGATCACCACAGTCTGGTGAGAGTGATGCAGTGAATAGTGATGACTCGATCTGGACGATATTTGTTGCTCAGAGAAAAGGCGAGACTTACGTATAATCAGATTGCTACTGGCACTATTGGCATTGGAACTCTGCTTTGGCTGCTAATGATGGGGATGGAGTGCTTATGGAAATTTTCCCCCAGTGCTCTGATGTCGGTTCTCGAGTTCCCTCAGCTCAATTCAACATTGACTTTCACAAGTTCTAACTCAAATTTGTTATGCTGGTCATTTCAGTACATGTATTGTGTCTTATTTCTCATGTTCCCGATCTAATTATCTATTCAGATGGTTCGGTGGTCAGAGGAAAGAGAAGTGCCTGGGGGTTTGTAGCGAAAGCCAATGGAAAATCTTTGCAAGACAGCCTAGCATATGACATCACAACATCTAGCATGAGAATAAAGGTGGAGGCGGTTACTGCAGCTTTCCTGTGGCTAGAGAACAAGATGCATACACATGTAGTAATTATAACAGACTCTGAAGGTATGCTGAGAAAGGTGAAGACAGGGATGCTTCGAGCAGAGTGGCAAGCTTCACTGGAAAAGTCACGGGTAGTAAGCATACTTTGGATCTTTTTTCCAGGCTATGCCGGCATATTGGGTAATGAACAGGCAGACAGACTGGCCTTCACCACTGGATGGTGAATTGATACATGACAAGGCAGATGTGGTCAAGGGTCTTTGGGAACAAGCAACGGAATCAATAGAGAAAGAAAATTATTATGGCCTGGAGAGAATGAGGCACCTGGGTGTCTGGCCAGCTCACAACACTCATTGGAAAGGCAAGACAGACATATAACCAGATTTTGACTGGTACCATCAGTATTGGAACTCTGTGCTGGCTGCTGAAGATGAAGACGGAGCACACATGGAAATGCTCTGAGTGCTGGGATGTCAATTCTTGACTCAACTCAACACATACTCCCAAGTACTTTAGAAGCCAATTGTGTTTGATTCTAAAGTTTCTTCTTGAATAATGGACTTACATATTTGTAGTTCGTCTTTAGTTCCAACATCTTGGAGTTAATTTGCATTTATTGGGGCTAGTAAGTTGTCCTGCAGCGTCCGTGGCTTAGGCGTTGCGAGTCGGACTCGCAATCCAACGTACCGCGATCAAAACCCACTGCTGGCTGCGTGGATTTTTATCATGGTATGGGGCGTCGCCAGCCTAAAATGGGTACCAGGATGGCTGTCCTGGGAAAGTAAAGACGGCCGGCGTAATGCTGACCACATTACCCATCCAGTGCCGACTGGTCTGTAAAAATATGGGACGCTCTCCCCATATACCCGATGCGCCTAAAGGCGTGAAAAGGGATCTTTACTTTTTTTTTTTAGTAAGTTGTCCTTAATTTCTTGTGTTGAGTAGTTCACTTTTTCTGCAAATGTATAATGGTAAAGCTGAGAAAAAAAGCTAATGTCTGTGTTTTTTCTGTCTGTTATGCTTTGTCCAAACACAATGATTTGCCAGTTACAGCACATTTTTGTTGCTCCTGTATATATTTTACTGTATAGAAAATTAATTTGTAATTTTCTGTTGAGTTGTTATAAACAATTTCCAAAATTTGTGATCACACCAGTTCATTTAAATATTTCTTTAATTGACCCTGGTGAACTTGATGCTATCCTAATGAATTATTCCCCTTATTTAGTGACTCGTGTGTCACTTTTGAATGGGACTAAAAGCCACGTATGCCTTGATGTTGTTAGAATTAAGAATATCTTGTGCAGATATCTGCACCTAAACACACCCATTACACACATAAATAAAAAAAATAACAGACTTTTTCTACCTTTATTGTAATCTATCTTAAGGCACTTAAACACACCCCGTTACACACATAAATAAAATAAATATTAAACTTTTTCTACCTTTTATCTATCTTAAAGGTGACATGTGTCAGTTCTAGCCTGAAGTTTAGATCAGAGTGAAAAACTAATTGCCACACAGGGCCAAAACTGAGCAAGTGTTTCCGGCCCATGAGGCTGATATAACATTACTATATAATCTGGCCCTTGAGCGGAACATAAAAACATGTCCGAATGCATAAGGAAAAAGAAATCCAAGTATCAACATTCTAAAAAACAGAAAGTGAAAAAACAGAAACTGATGTCATTAAGTCTTTGATCCTGCTGGTGCATGAGGTGAAAAAATGAGGAGGAAAGATGAGGAGGAAAGATGAGGAGGACATGGGGTGAGCTGCACAAAATAGTAAAGGAGAGTACAGCTTGACGTAAGCTGGTCGAAGGTCTATGCTCTGCTGGGAAATAAAGGGAAAAAAAGAGTACAATTATGTGAATATGTCTAAGTTATACGTGGCAAGCTATTATATTTGTAGTCACTTACGTAACTCCTTTGTTACCAAGGAAGGCATTATGCATTAGTTGATTTATATTTATATAATATTGCCCCTTTTAACTCCTTGTACCAAATCCCTTGTAATAACCCAATCTCTGCCAGTTGTTAATTTAACTCTTCTGCCTTGGGATGTTATTATTTTAATTCTTTCGGACCCTAAAATCTATTAGTTAAAGTAACAGCTTTTTACGGTATAAGAAGTTAAACATGTCACTTACTTTTTTTGTTTTGTTTTTGGAACAATTAACAAGTTAGGTCACATATTTTCTCATTGTTTCCTAGCCATCTCCAGTATTTATAATCATTGGCTTCATGCCTTAAATTATTTGAATGCTTATTTTGTATGTATCTGGCAATACACTGTTTCCTAGACTTGATTAATTACTGAATTTCTAAAAATTCTAATGTCATTTTGTTTTTAATTCTCTTTGATAACATTGTATTTATTTAATTATCATTTTTGTTACACTATGATGGTTGCAAATGTTTTCTTACATTATGTGCTTATATTTATGATTAGTTTAGAAATCTTCACCATATTATCCGTTTTTGTTCCTTTTTTTTTTAAAACTCTTTAACTCATACTACACCTTGTACCACTTGACCTGGCTTCAAAACAACACCTCCCATCTCCACACTGGACTGCATGTTACTTTGCAGCCACAATGGTGTCCTTATATTATTGTGTCTATGATTGAACAGGGTTTCTGTGCTTTGCTTCTGTTTGGTTCTCATCTTTGAGGTGTTGATCCTACAGACAGTAGTCCTGGAGGGAACCAATCTTCACCACCAGTGGTTCTAAAATTGCCCCAAAGTTAACAGCTCAACTGAGTTATTGTACACTGAAGGTTATAATTGTATTGTTTACTACATCATTAGATTATGATCCTACAGACAGTAAAAGTGGAGGGGAATAATAACTACCACAAGTGGTTCTAAAAGTGCCCAAAAGTTAACAGCTCAACTGAGTTGCTGTACAACTTCCTCAATCCCTTTATTTCCCATTTTAGTGCCTGTTTTGCAAGTTTCTGTAGTAAAATAACTTGTACAGGGTGGAGAAGCTGATTTCATGCACAACCCTTCTTCTTTCTCATCCAGGCTTGGGACTGGCAGTGGTGCCGATAAACATAATAAACAAAACACATTAAATACACATATTAAATGAAACAAATGAAAATTATCCCAAATAGTCAGCTTCACTGGATTATCAAGAATCAGTATTTTCTTCGCATCACATCGTTGCTTGTATATTATTAGCTTGTAGCCAGTGTTCAGTATTAATGTGAAGCTTTGTGGATATACTGACATATATAAACACATAACATTATGTGTGTACAAAATGAAAAGGCTAAGGAGATAAGTAAACTGATTTCTTTTTAAGCATGTCGCTTGCTTCACCGCTAACATCCCATCCATGTCCAAAGTTGTGCATATATGCTGGTGCCTCAATATCTACTGTAATCTTTCATATTTATGTATGTATCTCATTGTGTAATTTAATGCATGTCCATTATTAAATCACCCATTTTTTGATTCACCTCAGTATATCCCTGAGTGCCAGATTACATACTTGCATTGTTCAAAAGTGTCAACTATTGTACTGTGTCATCCGTATTTTAAGCAATGTTTTGTTTTCCTACCACCAATGATATTCCAATTTTTATATGTCCAGTATTTTTAGAAGTTTTGAATATCATAAAAAATAGATTCAACCTATATATCCGAAAAATAGATTTCTTTAGAAACTGCATGTTCTGTATTATTAATTTAGGTAATATTTTACCAGTTAGTTATTACATT